ATGTCATAAATACAATATAAGCCAACCACAAACCATAATATATGAATTTTGCATGAATTGGAACTCAAACGACCGAGAAAAACCCGAAACAAAGCTGAAACATTGTAAAAACAGCATCTAAAACCTTCTTTTTACGCATGTAAACAAGCGTAATCATGCACACTATCACAAGTAATAATATGGAAATACTCCAAGTTCATCTCGGACGATTTTCTTTTAAAATAAAATTGCAAACTGCTTGAATGAGCATCAGTTCTCCAGAGGCTGGTACGCGATCGAGTGGTGCCACGTGGGCTATCTAGACTCGGGGGCAGCCTTGGAACTTTGAGTGTTACTGAGAAGGCAGGAATACGTCCGAGTGGAAGCTCTATTCAGGTCCTCTAACCGTGGAAATGCCTTTGAACATCAGTTCTCCAAAAACTGGCACGCGGCTGAGTAATGCCACGTGGGCTATCCAGACTCGGGGACAGCTTTGGAACTTTGAGTGTTCCTGACAGGCTGGCGGTGGCATGGTGCTCCACATCGATTTCAAGCATGTTAGCGTACTCGTTACCTTATCTAGAGGCGCCGAAAATCGTCTTTGGGCTGCGTTTCCCATATCGTCGCTCCTTCGATATTTTGGCATTATGTCGCGTGCACTTCGAGGCATTCCTACTGAGTCATGTGTTATGTCGCTTCACTTATTTGGGAATACGGAGCCACGCGCCTCCGCCAAAGCGACATTTGGATGTTTGATCCAATGGCTAGTGGTCGCCTCCTTTCCCTTTAAATTGAGGGTTAGCTCTTACTTCAGCCGTTATGATTCTTTCTCCTTTTACTTTCCTCCAGTCTACCTACCAACAGAAGAAAGCTCGAAACTTCCAATAACAACCCCATCTGAGTGGATACTCCTTCGGAGAATGGTCCTGCTTTCCCGGAGGGACACCCCATCGACGGGAATGAGGACTACCTTCTCTCCAATCGAGAGGAGGTTTCTCCAGAGGAAGAGGATGACCTGGTTTCCAACAGAGGGTACCCATCGGAGGAAGAAGACGACGTGGGCGAGGAAGAAGTAGAGGATGGGACCAGTGGGGGAGAGGGGGGTGAATCCTTGAACATATCGGCGAGTTTCCTAGAATTTGGAGTTGCTCCTTCTTGGGCTCCTCCGAACCTTGCTCAATTGAGTACGGACGAACTCATCACGCGGATTTGCGAATTGGAGCGGGACCTTAGCAAGATGTGGTTGGAACATATTGACGCTGAGAACGGCCACCGTTTTGCCGTGGAAACGGTTCAAGAAGTCCTCTGAGGGATGGAGGAGACGAAGCAAGCCTACCAGTAACTCTTTCGCAGGGTCATTAACGTGTTTTAGCAAAAAGTAGTTGAATTTGAAGAATAAGAAAACCACCAAAAATAACTGATGATGTTTATACATGGAAGGTGTTCATGGAGCGATGAAGGTGTTTCCATCACCAGCGTTTCCATCCGGATGTGAGTTCCCTTGTCATAAAGGTAAAAAGAAGCTAAATGGGTGCTGTTTTCTAACGTTTTAAATTCGGAAACCATTATTTAAGCTTGGTTTAGTGTCCAAAACCTTTCATTTTAAGTTATCTTAGGTTATACATGCACATAGGACGTTTTTACATCATTTAGAGTTGATTTTTAACGGAAATTACACTTATGTGCAGAAAAATTCCGAGCTAGGCGCCTGACGCCTTCCCCAATCTTGAGATTGCCCTTAATGTAAAACGCACGTTTTGGTGTGATTTAAAGCCTTCCCAAGCTCTGCCACGTGTCTTCCATGCATTGAAGGTTGCCAATTCAACAACTAAACAACCAAAAGGTGTTTGAAATGGATGGCTCTCCACAAAGCTCTCAACCTCCTAACCACCTTGAAGTCCCTATAAATTCAGCAGCTCATTCTCTTCATTCATCATCCCGGAGTGATCATTTCAGCTTTAACATTAATTCTCAGTTTATTTACATTTCCTCTTTAAGTTTTTGAGCTGTTATTGTTTTAAACCTTACTTATTTCTAGTTCAGCCTTTATTTCCAGCTTATTAGTCTTGAATTGTAAGTTTAATCTTGTTTAATTAAAATTCCAGCAAGTTCTTTGTTACTCTTATCTCTCTCTTTCTCATTACGAAGTTGTAATCACTCAACCTTGAGGAATCGACCGAGTATTGCTCCCCAATCTTGAAAGAGAACGGGTTAGGGTCATTCGGGTTACAACTATACCATTTTTAGCTTGTTTTAATCTTTTAATCATGTTGTCTACTTCCATCAACATTAAATTCTGTTTTTCCTTTATCATCATGAGCTAAATTTATTTTTCCCAAGCCCGGTTATGGATAGTTAGTTAAAGTTTTTAAAATCCAACAAGGCAAAAGGCGTTTTTCTCCTCTTTTATTACTTAAAGTTGTTTTCATAAGTTAAAACTTGATTTGGCCAATGAATGTTTTAACCAAGCATCAATACTGAAAGGGTTGATACGTTTTCACAACTTTAATGATTTAACTTTAGAGAGAAATACTTTAGACATAAAGATTTCGCTCGGGTAGCCTAGATATAGGACCTCGACCTAAGGTTACGGTTGGTTTTTACTAAATTAAGTTATTTTTTCTAATAGACATATTAGGAATGGACTTAAACCTTCAAAATCACTTAGACATAAGAAGATAGCGAAGTAAAACCGAAGAAAATTTATGAGAGGCGCCTAGCGCCTAGTTGGAAAAAGTTTGCATAATTTTAGCTAATTTGAAGTAACTGGGCTGGGTTTATTGCATGAGCTTTTAAATATCAAAACTATCATTATCCTTATTATTTGTTACCCTAAATTCAATTACAAAGTCACCGATCATTAATATTTCCTATAAAAAACTTCATTTGTCCCTGAGGATCGATACTCGGAATACTCGTTCCGTTTTACTACTTGTGACGGGTGTACACTTGCGCTCTCATTTATTTTGAATCCAAAATCCCAAACAGGATGGTACTTGCATTTACAAATCAATGCAGGTATGCAAAGTAACTTTTATGAGAACATGACAATGTTTGTTTACTGTCCATAGAAGACGAATGCTCTGTTCTTGTTTTAAAATGAATTTAAATGATATCCTGTTTCTTGCGAATTTTGTTAGAGATTTCTATATACCAATTAATGCAAATATTTAAAACCAGACTATATATTATTTGATAGTGATGGAAATCTAAGTGTAAATATGAGTGTGGTAGTTATGCATATATACACACTGGTGAAAAATATGCAAATAATCGAAGGTAAATATCAAAGAAGCATTTATGGGATCAATGTCAGTATCTATAGTAGTTTGCACTCGTGTCGCACTTCTTTTTTGGGGTCAATGTCGGTATCTACAAAGGCAATATCCACAACGATACAACAATCACTCCCCAACTCATTCAATAGAACCGATAGAACCCATGTCACATCCCTCATAATAAAAAACTTGTTTACACCATTATTGAACAACGAGAGGCGTGCAACTTCCTTTTCATCGGGTAAATGAATATTTCTGGTAATGCATTCCATGAGATGAGATAAGATACTGTCATTACGAACTGACATCCGAGTGATTTTGAAATCGTTGTAGACATTGTTGCTTGTAATTATGACAAGATTTGTGACATGTTTATGTGAACGCATATTTACCTCTCGTTTCTAGATTATTGAATTTTTTTTGTATATAAGCCTAACTTACCTTTCATGTTACTTGGATTTACTTATGATCATTGACTCTCAACCTTTGATGCATATTATTGTTGACTTTATGTATATTTATTTGAGTGTAAATATCATCGAAATAGTTATATATATAAACATTGGTGAAAGTTTATACAAATAATCAACGATAAATATACAATAAGTCAATATAAATATAAAACTAACTATGTATTATTTGATAGAGATAGAAATATAAGTGCAAATATCATTGAGGTATTAAGCATATATACACATCGGTGAAAATTGTGACAATAATTACAGGTAAATATCCAAGAAGCAAATAAATATATTATAACCAAGTTAACCATTATTTTGATAGAGATGAAAATCTAAGTGCAAATATGATTATTGAGGTAGTTAGTCTTGGTTAAAAAAAGTATATTAAAGTTGGAAATAAAATTGCTCAATAAGGATCCAAAATTAAGTTAACACTAAATTTGGTTTGAAAATTAATTTAACAATAAAATCGATTTTATAAAAGAATTCAGATTTAATTTATTCCTAAAATTGTCCTTCCAAAATGAAATAATCTAATGTAAAACCAGTTATCCCTCACATAAGGGAAATACAAGTTTGTTTTTAAATATAATAAATCTCAAATTAAACTAAGGTTTAAAAATAGAATAAGGGTAAAGTTGTAAAATCAACCCTCTTTAAATTCTCTTGAGAATTTGGTTCGCAATTTGTGCCAATTATGATATTATTGGTCATTTATTAAAATGAGGTTCAAATCTAGCCACCCACTTAAATTATCCTTTGACATGAGACCTTGTAACCTCACCTTTTAAGTTTTTATTTCTTTTATTTTTATTTATTATTTTATTTTTTTTACATTCACTGACTCTTTTGTTTCCTTACATGGATGATCTTGTAATCATCTCCATAGTAATATGTTTTTGGAATTATTAATAATAAATGTAATTGCAGTAAAAATTTGAGAAACAAACACCTAACTAATTAAGGTTGAGAAGTTACCTCTATCTTGTTCTCTTTAAAAAAAATTCAAGTCGTCTATATCTATTTATCAATCATCGACAGTCTAACTGAAATATTATTGTGTAGCTCAAACCACTCTACAATTTAAAGTTGAGAGTGTGGAAATGAGAGGTATGTATAAGAATTTTAGATCTGGTAACTTAATATAAAATTAATAAATTTCTAACCTGTCTTTTTCAAATAGGTTTTTCCGCAGTTTGATAAAATCTCTAAACTTTTAACTCTAAAATTAAATAATAAAACACACTCATAATGAATTATAAATAAATATTAAAATGTAACATATCATATTTTTATTTTATTTTTAGTATTTTTTTTCCTTCCTCCAATGGTTAATCTTGTAATTCCATCGTCTGAGCAGTTGTAGATACACTTCCCTCCATAACAACCACCTGTGAAGGACACCTCTCCATTTCCTTCCCCCATAGCAAAATGTAGAGTCCAATTATCGCAATCGCCGACCCCAACAAGCTGGTGGAATGATTCATGGGCATTATTGTCACTAATTGTGTTATTAATATACAAAATAATTATAGAATTGGACACAAATTGTTACCAATTTGGGTGCTTGAGAATGAGATTAGAAAGAGAACAAATTTAGGAGTTGGTTATATTAGTTAATTACTTTCCGAGATAGAGTGGGTCGTGGAAGACGGGAATGCTGAACACGGCAGCAATTATCTGAACCAGTGGGTTGAAGGCTGCAGTGAAAACTGGACCTCTCTTTTTAACGCACCATGACATTCCCACCACGCACAGCCCCGATCCGATCATCCCCTGCCATTTCAATTTAGATTTCAGATTCCCTACAAGCCCGAGCACAACAAATAAATTCATTTTAAAAGTACTTACGGAGTATAGAACAGTGAGGATTTGAATGCTGCCACGAAGGGTCCAGGAGGAAAGCGTGGCGTCCGTGAGGAGGCCGAAGACGGCGGACTGAGTGGCGGCAAAGAAGGACATGATGGCGGTGCTGGTGTACTCGTACGGATATCTCTTCCCGATGTCAGACTGCAGGAGATACCAGGACGACCACAGCAGGGTTCCACCAACCAGAGCTATGCACCCCAACGTCCAACTCGTCTTCTTCACCGCGGTGGCAGCGGCTTTTTTGGCTGTGTACGAACTGTTGGCCAAAGCCGGCCCTTTGTACGCGATCAACAGCGCCACGCCAGAGATGCAAACCACTGTCCCTAGCGTCTTTGCTTTTCCACTGTTTGAATTCAACTCCACCGTCTCCATCCTGCCCACCCGGAGGCCGGAAAAATAATATTAATCGAAATGGCCGGGTTCACCTTTATTTTCCAAATGGGAGTGGGAAGTTTTAAAAATAAAAATAAATTTAATTTTTTAAAGTTTGAGAGTTTAATTTTTTAAAATGAGAAGTCTTAGGGGTGCAGTTTTTTTGGCTTTATATTATTTTTATAATTGAAAATTTGGGGGTAATTTTAACAATTATCATACTTCAAGTGCAATTTGTTGACTTGAAAAAGATCACGTGTTTAATTTTTACCATTGAAAGTTTAAGGTTGTAATTCATACCTTAGTGGTAGTTAATGCAATTTGTCCAAATAAAAAATTGAAGTACCTAAATAGAAGAGCCATGATAAAAGTGACAACAGGGATCATGTTTAGAAATGCACAGGCAAAAGCGGCAGAAGTGTGTTCGATGCCCAAAAGAAAGCAATATTGGGTGAGCGAAGCCCTACAAGGTGGAAGCACACTAATCAATTCTCAATTCTCAATTCTCAATTCTCAATTCTCAAAACATACAACAACTAACCCAATAATGGAGCTTAAGTACAAGTAACAAAGGATGCGGAAGGAGAGTTTCGCTCGACCATCCCTACAAGTGAAAGCACAGAAAGAAGAAGAAGAGAGGAAAAAAAAAAAGCCAAACCAAATTCGAATTATTCAAAATATAAAAAATAAAAAAAAAGAAGAAAAATTTATAAGGAAGGGAAATTAAGACCTCTCATAAAAGTATGCAATGGGGGCCAAAGAAATGGCAGCAATTCCAAGGCGATAAGTTATGAGAACCAAGTGGTTCATTCCATCATTAATTACGGTCTCCATCAGAATAGTCACTATGGCAAAACCCAAATCTACACCCACCATCGCCATCAACGGCTTCATATCCTTCATGCCCTTTGTCTCTCAATTCCTAGTTTTTCAATTTCTTAATTGTCGTCCTTTGAGAAATACAAGGTTTGTGTCTGTGGAGGATGTAAATATTTATAGACGTACTGAGGGCCACTTTATCTCTCTCTACCAAACAAGTTGGCCACAAACTAAGATTAGTTCAAATCCTTTTCATAACTAGTTTTTTTTTTCTTCTTTCTTTTGGTAAGGAAATTCGTACCCTATTAAGTTCGGTCTGTCCAAGGAAAAGGGTTATCTATTCCGCTTGGTGAGGAACTTATAAAAAAGAGGTGAGCACTCTAATTTCTAAGTCGGTATAGATGATTGAAAGTAAGTAATATATCTCATGAGGGAGTCGAGCATACCAGAATTGGGGTTTACCCGACTGTCTTATAAGTGATCGTCATATTGGATTGGTTTAGTTAAAAGGTCAATATTATAGCTCTCAATCTCTACAAGAGCTAGCCTATATCAGTGGGCAATGAGAAGTTAGGAAGGTGTGACGGTTATTCTCCTTACGAATCCAAGTCGTCAGTTGTGCCGCTTATTTGACGGCTGCCATTATTCCACATGTGTAATCTTCGAATATTACGATCGTAGTCATTTGTCATATCCCAATGCGGGCGCGACACTAATCTGTTTCCTTATTTTCGATTAAGTGCTGGATGTTTCCTCTCCCACTTTTGATATTATGGAGAGGATTTTTACCCTTTGTTTTTGTCGTAGTTGCCTTCTATTTTCCAAGTCAGTTGTGCGTCTATTACCGCTCTTCTTGAACTCTGTAATTTCGCACCCTATAGAAGTGTTGGGACAAGGGTCCCTGACGTTTCATCTCAAGGCAGCGATTTGTTAGGTGGGATGACCTCAACTTCTATGAAAGACCCATCGAATATCGAGTCCAGCTGTTTAAAGTTGCTCCTTAGTTTTGGTATAGGTACAACGATATGGTGAATGTCAAGATGCGATTGCCTCACGAGGGTGAGTCAATCAGCAATTCCCCTTTGGGCATGCAGGATTTTATGACAAAATGTTTGTTGTTGGCATCAAGTTGGCCATCCAGCCTTTTGCCTAGCAATTCTTGAGTGAATTCAACCTTGCTCAAGTGCTATTGGGATCGAATGTATAGAGTACCTTGCTCGGGTCTTTCAATCTCTGGTGACGCTTTTCAGTCGCGGTAAGGAATTTGATATCTTTACAATTGAGCAAATGCTTGCCACTCACCAAGTGGAGAAGATGTAAAATTTTCATGGTTTCTTTTATAGGCCTTCTCTACCTAGACGTGGTACTTTGAATGTTTTGTGGCAGCAAAAATGATGCTAGAAAATTGAAGCTAATTCGTGAAAGTTAGCTGGTTAGTTTTTATGCCCTAAACTCATGGTTTCTAAATGTAAAACAAATTATTTGTTCAATAAAGTTTTGTTTGAAGTTTTAGAATTGCATTGACCCAAATCCAATAAACTAACATCCGAGGTAATTTAATGTAACTGGAATAATATATAACTGATATACATGATATATAATTCACATACACGTTATATAGTAGATATACAGTCGGATAATGTTCTAATAATAACCTAAATGATATATAGTATATGAATAAGGTTGGGTTTTTCCTGTTGACACTATTGATACGACCCACTTTGTAAAAGTTACAAATGACTCAATTTGAATCGTTTATGTGGAGACATGCAAGTGGGGGTATCCTATACCATGAGTTTGTATAAGATCAAACCACAAAACTACTATCAATCTTTAGTTGTAACACCATTAACTAATTTGATTAAGATTTCACAAGATGACCATGTAACTCGATCTCAATCCAGAGGAGTGATTGACTTCTGCCCATGAGAAATTGTCCTTAGATTTGTATGGGTGAGAGTTGCCCGAGACACCGACTCAACATGTCTATCATCTTGGGGACTAGTATGAGTGGGGAGCTGAGAACATAACTTCGCAAGATGGAATTCACTCATTCCCGACTTTAGGGTAAGTAGATGAGTGTTACTTTAAGTGCTGACTTTAAGACTTGAACAAGGGGTCTCACTAGTCCGAGAGGGACTTCTGTTTAATTGTCAATATCCATGGACAGAACAAAACTTGGTAAGTTCAAATTAGTGAGCCTTCATGACATAGTCATAGGAATCCATGTGGTTGACCTATGTGACAAGCAGTATGCTCCACCAAAGAGGAGTGACACTTGGTTAAAGGTGGCTCATAATAATACACAGATGAATGAGTATTTAACTCATAATTTACCAAGTTTTAATAGATGTTTTATTAAATATTCTATATAGATTTAGAAGAAAGAGAATCAAACTTAGACAATTATTTTCTATACTTATAAATATTTTCAAGATAAATTAAACTATTTATAAAAAATTATGAGATTAAGACATAGAAGTCTAAATTGTTTACTTTATATTTTTATATAAAATAAGAAATACATATAAAAAAGTTTTTAAAGGGTTTTGTTTAGTTATTCAGATTCCATAAATTTCAAATTAAAAATTAAATAAAAAAATCAATAGAATTTCAAAATTTTGATGATTTATAGAGAAGAAAAAATGATATTTATATACTCATTTATATAAAAAAAATTACCTACATAGCAACAATATATAAATTAAAAATAAAACCAACCCTTTAAATTTTTTGTTACAATTATAAATCAAAGCGACGATCAAGAATAAAGAAAATTTCCTAATTTTTTTATAAAAAATGACGTAGAACCACACCAATTCTATCATTTTCAAATTCTATGATTTTTTTTCTTTCGTCTTTTTCAATTGACACAAGAATTTTAAATTTTGAAGCGAAGGAGCAATAATGCTAAAATAAAGATTTTGGACTAGTAATATTCAACAATTAGATTTTAAAAAATTATAATAAAAAAATATATTAAAAATAACTCAATACGGCGAACTCAAGAGTCAAACTCTAACTCTCAACGAGGATTGGAGACATGGACAACACTAAACGGAAGGAAATATTTGAAATAATATAGTAATTATTAATATATATTTTAAAATTTAGCAGAGTTGGAGTTCCTCAAATGGATTTGTCTCTTCTTACTCTCAAAGTGGACAATATCATAATATCGGTACTATTTTTGTTAATGATTTGACCTATCAGCCACATTTAAAAATAATGATTCCAATATTCTATGAAATAAAATAATATATATGTCGGAAAAGAGGAGATACATATTCTGGTAATGTCAATTGAGGTTATGGCACGAAGAACAATGTGCCAAATCCAAAGAGAAACATTGTGGAAAAGGAAATCGTGGCATGTAAAAAGCTTAAATAGAGAAAGAAAGGCAATATTGAAAGCGACTCTAACCAACAATTTTTTTTTTCCCTTTAGAACAAGACATTCTTAATTCCGGTCTCCCCCTCTCATTCATTATATAAGTTATAGGGCGTAAATTGTAATCAATATATATTAAATTTTTGCTTTTACCAACACTGCACGCTGGGAGTCTGTTTCCAAAAAAAAAAAACATCTGCATGTTGGAGTCTTAGCAATTTGGATGGGGAAGATTCTCTGTGCTTTTTCAAAGATGTAATTTCTCCTGATTTCTCTTTATCTTGAAATGTAAACAGCATTTCACATGGATGAATTTGAACTAAAAAGTAGAATTATGCTAATTTTGGATCTAGAGTTTGCAATGTCTGTCATACTTGTGAGTTTTTAGACCACCTAGTCTAAAAAATATTTGTAAATGAATCAACAAAATTGTAATTAGATGCTTCACGTTCTTTCAACATGAGTTTCTGCAATATCAGTTCTTAGGATGATACTTTATAAGTTTGTTCTTTAATTAATGAATTTACAGCATGGTTGTTGCAAATGAAAGGCGCATAATTTTAGCAATTAATTAATATTCATGGTTAGATTCCTAAGCCGATTTAATAACCTTTTTCATTTTTAGCAAGCTCATTTCCTAGCCAAATCAATTTTCTATTTCTAAAATCGTTTTTTGAAATCCTCACTAAAAAAAGAAAAGTTTTTAAAAACCAGTTTTGTTTTTCAAAATCTCTGTTTTTTTCCCTAATGCTCAACGTCTTTTTCTTTGACATATTTATTACTTATAATTTTTTTATCACTCTAAAATATTTTTTACCTAAATTTCTCAATCTAAAACTTTATATTTTTCTCTTTAAAATTTAATCTCTGAAATATTTCTCTACCTCTTAAAAATTTTGGTTTGCATAAATTTATAATTTTTTCTTTTCTTCTAAAATATTAGTTTTATTTTTCTCTCTCCTAAAAATTTAATATTTTTTCAAATGTTTTTCATTCTCAAATTTTTCATTTTATAACTTTTGTTTCTCTATTTAGATTATTTTTCCTGTAAAAAATATATATCTCAACGTTTCTCTATCCATATGCTTTTGCGTTCAATTTCAATTTTCTTTCTATGGTATCTTTCTCTTTTTAATTATTTATTTTATGTAACTAATATATGTTGAATATTTTCTTGTCCAAATTTTGTTTTCACACAAATTTTTCTTTTTATCTTCCTTTATAATGGGGAGATAAAAGGAGAATAGACCAAGCGACGGGGCCGAAGGAAACCCGAGAGAAAGCACGAACCAGGAAAGGGAGGCCGACACCCGACAACTTGGACCGGACCCTAGCCAACCAGTAGTCGGCATCAACCAGGCCTCAGAGCCGAGGCCTCATGGGCGCTGAGTAGTTCTCGGCCCCCCGAACGAGAACTGAAGCGGTTCATCCCGACCATTTCGTAGTCTCACTCGAATTATTCCGCCTTAATTCTCGATTCGACCTAAAGCTCACAACGAAGTGAGCGGGCCTGGATATTTATTTTTCCTAGATGTATGAGCATTGGGGTAAACCCTAAAGAGATCAGAACTCGACTTCTATAAATGGAAGGGTTAGCCAAACCCTAGACGTATGTCAAAACACCCTACTCTCTAACTCGACTACTCTGATACTAAAAGCATCGAAGTCCATGTGGCAAGAGCCACACCGGTCTTAATGCTATTATATTTTGCAGGTCTCATCGATCCCTCTAT